AACATTTTTTAGCCGGGTTAAAACAAAAAAAAAAAACAGTAAGAAATTCCGTACGTGCGACGATAACTACATCTTTACTGATTAAAAAGCAATTTGGGTTTTTATTTTCAGATGATCCGTTTTTGAGTTATCGAACCGACTAATATACGGGGAAATTTTTTCTAGTACTCTACGAGATTGTTAATAACTGTGTAATAATTAAATATTTTTTAATAAAAATTTAGGGTAATAATCTTTAATGTACCCTTAATAAAATAAAAAAAATCCGATTCCCAAATTCCTTTATTTTCCCTGTCAAAAAAATTCCCGAAAATTACCTCTTATTTTCGATCGTCACAGTGGTGTTCCCCCTTAAAAAAAAAAAAAAAAATATAAAAATATAAAAACATTTTCTCTTATACTTCAGGGTTTACTTTTTCATTTCCGATGATCCAACATTCATTGGAAACCGGAATTCTAGTAACTTGGACAAAGAGTTTCAATTGTCCTGATGTTGTAAACAAAGATGCAGTACAGTTATTGAAAGACGCCATAGCTCGTCGTGGTGATACAAGAGTCAATGTACTAGCAGTGCTTAATGATACAACTGGAACGCTTCTTCAAGGAGCTACTCAAGATCCAAACACTGCTATCGGTCTTATCCTAGGTACAGGAAGTAATGCTTGTTATCTTGAACGAGCTGATAAAGTCGAGCACTGGGAGCCTGAGCGACATGGCGAGCGCGAGGTTTAAAACATTTTCAAATTCTACTGAAAAAATAAATAATTTAATTAGTAGTCATCATATTACAGAAATTAATTGTTTGATTTTATTTCAGGTAATTATTGATATTGAGTGGGGTGCATTTGGTGACAACGGTGTTTTAGATTTCATTAAAACAGATTTTGACAGAGAAAATGACGCTAATTCTTTACTCGTTAATTCATTTACGTAAATATTTTTTTTAAATAAATTTAACTGTTAATCTTATTCTTTTATAATGAATAATTTATTTATTTTTTAATTTATAGATTTGAAAAATATATCAGTGGTAAATACCTTGGGGAATTTGTACGTGTTATATTGGCTAAATTGTCAAAAGATGGTTTATTGTTTACGAGACAAGTTCCAGAAAGTTTACTTTTAGTTGGAAGTTTCTTAACAGATTACATATCTCTTATTGAACAGTAAGTTTAGTTATAAATAAATAAATTTTTTATTCGTAAATTGAATCTAAAATAAATCACATTTAATTTAAAATTTTATTTATACAGAGACACAGTCAATGGCAGTAGCGTTCACACGAAAGAAGTTCTTGCTAAATTTAATATAATACCTGACGAAGAAGATTTAAAAATAGTTCAATATGTTTGTGAGCTTGCGTCAAATCGCGCAGCTCTTTTAGTTTCTATATGTAAGTCCTGATATTATTATTTAACCGAATATATTTTTTTATTTTTCATTATTATTAAATCATACAATCTTCTTTAATTCTCAGGCGTCGCAACGCTCCTTGATCACATGGAGAGAGAAGAAGTAACAATAGCTGTTGATGGCTCTCTCTATAAACATCATCCACGATTTGAAAATTGGATGAATCAATATATAACTTTATTGACACCAGCTCGGAAGGTATATTTAATTAATTAAGTTAATCACTGTAATTAGCAACATAAATGACTATGAAATTATATTTTTTAGTTTAAGCTTATTCACGCTCAAGATGGAAGTGGAAAAGGTGCGGCAATCGTTGCAGCGATTGCATTAAGGATAAAAAAAAGATTAGAATGAAAGCTTATTTAAAGTTAATCAAGCAATCGCCGGTATGTCATTTAATTTTTAATGTTGATAATTAAATTCTTTTATTTCAATGAATCTAATTACAATCATGTTTAAGTTTTGTTTAGTTTTTAGTATTTTTTTACTAAGATTTTTTTATACAATATTCAACCGATTCAATTATCTCTAATTGAAGAAATTTTCTTATTTCAATGGAATCTTTTTTATTTTATTATGTTATAATGGAAAATAGAAATTTTTTTAATTAAAGTAGAAGCAGAAAATTTTATTGCATTCTTCAATAGTGAACATTTTACTTTCTTCTAATAAAAGTTAATCGTTGTTAAAATATAACTTGAACTACACTATAAGTTTTATATTACATTTAATTTTGCTTTATATTTTAGGATAATAAATTGGCCTTATTAATATAAAAAATTGAAAACTTAATGTTAAATTACATAAATATATTTTATTGTACATATATTTTATACATAGATTATCTTTTATGTATTGACAAAGTTTCTACAAACGTCTTATTTTATATAAAAACATAAAAATTAATTAAAAATTATTTTTATCTATATTTAATAGAAATTTAACTTTCTTTGATTATTTTTAATATATTAATGTTATAAAAATATAAATAATTATTAAGGTTTATGCTTATAAAATAATGGCAACTAGTCACACACCATATATCAAGACAAAATGTTGTTCATTGTATGGGGTAAAGTACCCAATGGTCAGTTTGGTACCAGAATCCAATCTCTTTAATTATTTTAAACTGATTATTTGTAGTTAATATAATTTTCGTTTTAATTTAAAAATAAAGCGGAATTAATATTGGTATTTTTCTGCAAGTTTATTTATTTTATTTTTTTTTTGTAAAATTATTTGCAGTATATAAAATTTATAGACAAGAAAAAAACTTCAAAATGGCTGGAAGCGAACTAATTTATCATAATTTCTGAAGAAACATAATTAAATCAATATCATTGATGAATATTTAGGTTAATATTGTTTGAAACCAATAAGATAACACACAATAAGAATTTAACATATATCTTTAACACATAATTTAAACTATGATAGTGATTATAAATAATAAAACGTTAATTGGTAGACTTATGCCTATTTAAATAAATTTTAAATACATGTACTAGCAAATAATTTTAAAACTTGATGTTAATAAAAATCTATATGTAAAACTAGATTTGTTTTTCTTAATGTAGAATATAAGAATATCTAAACACATTTTTTTAATTAATTCATTTAATAAGTTATTTAAAGTGACTTTATTGAAATTATAATTTTTATTTGAAGTTAAACCTTTTTTTTGTATAGATACAATTGTTAGATAGATAATGTCGATGTAGTAATCTATAAGATACCAAATTGAAAATGATTTATGCCTTATTTGAAGTTAATTAAATTATGTAAAATTAAAGAAGAATTACTTGTTTTATAAATTCAATCGCTAGTAGCACAGCTGATTATATTGATAATTAATTTCCAAGGTTATGAGATATATAAAACGGTATCATCTGTTATTACTTCAAAATAGTTTTCCATTTGGTTATTTAAATAAATATTTAGAACGATTGAATTATTGAACTGTGTTAATACTTACGTCAACATTCAATAATTTTTAACATAAAAAATTTATTCCTCATTAATTATTAAATATATTTAAATTGCAATAAAAAAAGTGAGTCAGAAACTTTCACTATAATTGTTTAAATTATAACTCAATTAAAAAAAAAAGCCAAGTCATTCAAATTCGCGCGGTTTGAAAATTAGCAAATCGGTCTTACAAATTAAGCCACAAGATGGCGATAGCAGTTAGGCCGAATTGAAAATCTAACTTGACAGATTGAGAACTGTCAGAAATGTGTAATTTTGTTTTTCTGATAATAAAATATGTTATTTATTAATATTGATAGTCTAAATAAATGTCTCTTGTATAAATTTAAGTAATTAAAAAATCCAGTGACGTTGACGATTAGTAGTTAATAAAAAAGTGTATTTACGTGAGGTAAAACGAGTGTGCACGTAAAAGAGAAGAGCTCGCCGGCTCACTCAGTCTACTGGAAGATTCCATTGTGAGAGGGTTTCAAAAATTATTCCTATGTGCAAGTAGTGAATTTTATTATTTCAGGGATCGGAAACCTTCACGAAATTATATATCAAGGTATTTATACAACTAATTATCAATATACAATAATCAAAACAATACAATAATAATTATTAATATAAAAAATATACAGTCAAATTATTGATGTTTCTTTTTTCTTTCTATTGGCTCAGCAGAGCCGTCAGCTGATGAAAATTTTAGTCAGTGACCGGTTTGCTAAATTTTATTAAAAATATCCCTGTATTTTTATCACGATTTTACAATATATTTAAATATCAAGAACAGTCTCTTATCGTGCTTACGGTAATTTTTTTTTTCTATTTAATATCATTTTCAGAGTGTGAAAAAAAAGTCACTTGATGCCTTTGTTTCTCCAACACTTTTACTGTTGCCATGCTGTTCATTGCAAGTTCGTTTATACTTGAATTTTTATTTTTTCATGTTAATTTTATTAATAACAGTTACTGTTATTGCTTATATGATTATTTATTTAAATAATTTGTTTTTCATGCTCAATGTCATGGTCTTGTCAATTTATACCGTTGAGTAATATTATTTGAACTAAAGTAAATTAACTCGAGTTATTTTGATCAGCAGTGGTTTATTAATTTTGTAAAAAATAACAAGAAAGTTAAATATAAAAGTTGATAATTTTTGAACATGGAAAAAAAAACTTAATAATTAAAAAATGCTCTTAAAAATTTAGGAAATTATTTTTTTTTTTATTTCATTTTTTCTCTAAATTTAAACTCTCTAAATTTGTTTACTCTGAATGAAATTTTTTTTTTTTTCTATTAATAATACCAATTGAATTAACCATGCAAAAAAAATTTTGTAAGTTTTTACAGTAAAATTATTAAAATGTCGTGCACTTTAATTGCCTTCATTGCCTTGATATTATTATTATTATTATTATTATTATTGTCAATTACGCCAATAATCCCGGTATTATTTAAAATATTCGTGCTAAACTAATAATAATATTAATAAATTGCAGAGTTGGTCTCAATTCGGTGTATTTGATCTACAAAATGTTGATGTCAAGGATTTGTAGCAGTAAATTAGTGACAGTGGAATTAATTGGAATAATCTTCTGAAAGTAAAGCTGATTGGTCTTCCCTAAACTGAAACTCCTATCCGAAATCCGATGGTATGCGATGAGATTTTGTTTATATGTATATTAGTGTGCCTCGACTTGGTTGCATTGTTTCAAGTGACTGAACGCAAATGATCCTCGTTTCAAGTTGTTTCAAGCGACAATCGTGATAGTGTAGATGTTATTGTTGAATGTTAATTCTACCCGGCAAGGAATGAAGGGAAAGAGGCGGCATTTAGTTTATGTCTCTTAGTCACATCAGCTGACTATGGAAACTTTAACATATATGTTACACAAACATACTCACACCAATCTTTTAAACTATCGTACCACTATTTATATATCGCAAAAAAAATTACTACCTGCATTGATGATAATCCAAACCGTAATTATTGCGATTAACTCTATATTGCATGTCTTTGTTAATTTTTTCAAAATTTCCCGATAGTAAATTCAATTTCTCGTTTTATTACTGGCAATTAAGTAAAGTGCCTTTGTCCGATAAAACTTTTTCATCGAAAAACAATAAAATAAGTTAAAATGGAAAAAAAAAAAAGCAAACATTATTATGAATAGTTTCTATCGTTATCGTTATCAGTGACACACACCTTTTGTAAAATATTACTAATTTAAACAATATAACTCTTTTAAGCATCGCTGATTTCCTTGAAAATCAAAAGTTTCATTCTTTTTCAATTATATTATTTTTATTATCTCTCATTATTAAATTCAAATAAATAACATTTCTCGATCTGCTCAGCGCAGTCAACTGCAAAATCAGGTTCCTTGGATCCAATACAATCGATCGATAAACTACGCTAGCTCTCACGATAAACTGACATAAAGACTTGTCCGCTATATTTTATTTTTAAAAAAATTGACAGATATTTTTTTCTTCCTTCGGTATGGTCATTTTCTCTCTCTCTCTCTTTTTTTATTTTATTTTTTACAACTTATATTGAGATGCGCTGAAGGTATATAGTATAAAGTTTGTAGTTCCTTTCACATGTACATCGATCTCTTCTATTCCCCCTTCCTGTTGTTACGTGGCCCTCATTTCTTTGGTACTTTCGACGCCATTTTTACTCTTTTATACATTAGCACATGGACTTATGGACCTCTATTCGTTGACTATTTTCTGCGGGAGGAGATTTTCCATTGTTCAACATCGGTAGTAGGCCACGGTAAGCGATCGCTTGGTGAGGTTAGCGAACTGACTCTAGCATTAAACCAACGGTTTCTTGTTTTCTTTTCATATCCTTGTTTTTTTTTCGCTTTCTTCTTCTTCGTCTTCTGTTTACTAAATTGATCACTTTACCTTTACTTATATTCAACTCTCTCAATATACTTATACATATATACATACTTATACGGTGGTATAGTTACTAGTTACATTGCTATACATTACCAGAGGTCAAATTTCACATGACTGAAGCCATACCAGCCTTTCTTCAATATATCTTTTACTATATTATCAATAAAATAATATAAATGGACCATGTGCTTTATTTATTAACTTTTTGTTATCCATTATTGAAATTTAAAAATCCCTTTACTCCGAATTCGATTTGTCCCACTTTTGTACGTCGTCATGGTTCGCTAAATAGCTTTGACGTTTTCCGCGAAAGTCACGCGTCGACGGGTGCACCGGGATACGAGGGAGTAGAAAGAATAGAGACAGGAATAAATACATTTTTTAGTTAGAATAGAGCACACCCATCAACCTCAGCAATTCAGCGTGTAAAAATAATGACTAAACGTATAATTAATTACTAATAC